TATTTATATTCAGCAATTTCTCCTTGGAATTTTTGAGTTCACCTACAGATTGGAAAGATGTGGAACAGTGATTCTTCAATGAGCCAGGTCTTCTGCAAGATATGCTGAGAGTAAAGATGGTCAGAATGTAAGGAAATATGAATATTCTGTCAGGACGTATTGTTTAAAACCAAACTTTGGATCAGACTTACTCTGTAAAGTTACTCTAAAAAAAAAAAAAAGGCATTCAAATCAGCTTTAAAAATTTCAAGAATAGTGTGAAATTTAAGTACACAGTATAAAAAAAATACGCAAAACATTAAAAAGATAAAAACAGAAAGTTACAGTAAAAATGAGGAAGCACCTGTTTGAATTTGTCCATATTACTTTAGTGAAATACTCAAGTCAGTTCTAAGCTTTTGGATCTTTCAGCATAAGAAAATACATAAAAAAACCCCTCTAAGTTTATCTCTACATTTTTAAACTGCAAAATCTAAGTGAAAAAAAAGCTGAAAAGAAAATCTTTTAAACTAAAGGTGGTAATCAGCACTTCTTTGAGGAATACTTAAGAATTCTTACATAGTAATTTTCACATTAAATGCAAATAAGGTCTTAATTATTGAAAAAATGTCTAATGCCCAAATTAAACATCATCCTACTTTACCCTCAATACTTGGTAAATAAACCAGTAAGCTATGTTATCAGCTACATAATTACAGATTTATACATTAACTTCTCTATTATCTACTACAATAATTTTGTTTTCACAAGTGTTATTCAGAATGTAATGTTATATTAAGAGGCACACTGGAAATAAAAGAGATTTACCACTTAAAGATACTGAGCATAATCTTAAGGATGATGCTTGCTACCATGTACCTTAGTAAGATCTTCAACACAAAGTTTAACTAAATCTTTGCAATGTTCACCAAATATTTTGAGGTTTGAACTAGACTGTTAGCTTTGCTGGCATTTCCCAGCTTGAGTAGTATAAACACTATTATTCATCACAGAAGTCAGAAAACTAAAACGCATCTGCTCCTGCAATGCTAGAGGACCAAAAACCTAGAGACAGCATGAATATAGATTATTCAACATTTAATTACATGATGGAAAGTGAAGCAACGACACCAAAGCAGCAAAGTCCTAGGCTATAGCAAGAGAGGACTAGCTCAAATGCAACAGCAGTGGGCAAAGAAACAAACCAAAGAAGCTGCTTACACCTTCAGAAGATCCCAGACACACAGGGATCTCTAGACAGATACCCTCACCTCCACTGCCAACCCTTAAAAGAGGTCTAGGAAGGGGGGGGGGGGATCCTGGCTTCACCCCTCATGCTCACACAGGTACACTGCATGCACCTAAGCTCCCTTGGGTTGGCCCTGCTTTCCCACCAGGTGCTCAATCACTGCTTCAGGCCATGACTTAGCATTTCCACTACAAATTACCTATTTGGAAGAAATAAACTTAATTTTTATTTTGTTCTAAAACAATATTATAAAACGAATAATCAATGGTTGTTATATCACACACACACACACACACACACACACACACACACCCTGAGCTAAAATTGCAATACTCGAAGTATTTCATAGCTTTCTTAACTTAAAAAGAACACGTTCATTTGCACAGTAAACATAATCATTAATCTGACATTTTTCTTCACCTTTTACATAATTATTTTAGAAGCACACTGCCACTATACACAGACCTAAGGACATGCAGGCACAGTATAAATATAACACACACCTTGTATCAGTATACCCTAGTATCTCTCTTTGTTGTCTTTTCTTAGCAGAAAGAAGGCAGCATAAAGACACTGTTCTCTTATGCTTCCAGGACAAGTTACAATAATGACAAATAACAAGTATTATTGGTAGTAGATTTTAAAATTAGTCTTCAATTTACAACTAGTTTATAAAGAGTTATCAATTTTTAATAGGTTCTGTGCAACATACTAATATACACTACAAATAATTCTAACAGATCCACGTTGGCAAGACATGAAAACTTTTGAATCCTAGATCATATTACAAATTCTTTGTCATTTACTGAAATGCTACTCAGTGCATTAGACCTTTTAACAGTAATACAAATCTAGTAACTGAAACCATCTTTGCTGCATTAAGTAGTGAGGTTCTGCCAGCATGTATGCGCTCTGGGACAATTCTCTGACTAGCACTATCAAGACAACCCTGTCACTCACTGTCACAGCAGTCACACTGACTGGTGTAGCCTCTGCTGGATGCCTGTGCCTGCTCTTCATGCATTAGAGGCTCTATCTTGTAATTTGCACTGCCCACACAAGTGATGTCTTACACACAGGATGGCTTACATTGAAGAGGATCCTTAAGTTCACCTATTCCAGCCCCCCTGACATGGGCATGATTGCCAATCTCCAGATCAGGCTGCACAAGATTCCATCCAACCTGGCCTTCTGTGCCTCCTAAGATGGGCATCAACCTCTTCGGACAACCTTTTCCAGCACCTCAGCATCCTCTGAGTAAAACATGTCTAACCTAAATGTCCCCTCTTTTAGTTTAAAACCATTCCCCCTTGTCCTATCGCTATCAGAGAGTGTAAAAACCTCAGTCCTGCTTGTAAGCTCCCTTCAAGTATCAGAAGGCCATAACAATGTCTCCCCAGAGCCTTCTCTTCTCCAAGTTAAACGAGCCTAATTTCCTTAGTCTTTCTTCATAGGAGAGAGACTCCAGCTCTTTGATCATTGCGGTCCTCCTATGGACCCACTCCTACAGTGGGACACAGTTGCATGCTTTAGGACAATCCCAAATAGATGTCTACCAGAAAACACATCTGCTAGAGACACTGGCTAGCCACACTCAAGTTCAAGGAATGCATTAGTTAGTTGTGGTCTATTACACCCAGTTTAAAGTAGCCTGAGGATAACACAACCTTAGGCTGTTATAGAAAAAGATACACAGAGTTACATTGAGATTTAAACTGTATGACTCCCTTGGCCTTTCCCTTATTTCTGGGGTTCTCCTGCTTCCAAGGCTGGATACAGATGCTGACACTAAATTGCCCCATGTGAATGGGCAGTATTCTGAATGCCTACATTCAAACATCATTGGAAAAACCAAGGCATATCCAATATCCTAACTGCACATGAATGCAAAATATACTAGGCTTTAAAATAACTTAACCTGATTGGATTTAGATGACATTTGTGAAATGGTTATTCAATTCCTGCAAGTCCAATAAGGCACAAGATGCAGTAGAGCCTGTGAGGAGCTGTAGATACTGATCAGCTAGCTGAACAGCCATGCATGTAGCTGACTGAGAAAGTCTAAAAATACCAGTATCAAGAATCAAATGAATGCTTTTTTGTATCTCAAGAACAAAGCACCAGTTCAGAATAACAGAGCTATTTATAGGGCTATGAAATAACACATATCACAATGTGGATGCTCATTAATTTCACAGATGTGATTTTATTACATTACAGCCATCATAACTCATATGTATTATAACATACAGGACAGAACTAAATCAAAGTCCATAGAGATTTGCATCATGTTTTATAATTATAAAGCACTATAAGCTTACATTAAGATGAAAAACATTAGTTATGGTCAATATTAATAGGCAGCTGCATATTAAAGCAACAATGATATTTATGGCATCAATTAAAGAGTTCAAAGAACTACCAGTAAAAAAAGATATCCTCAGTGCTAAAGTACCAAAGAGCCAGTGATAAGCATTACCAGAAACTAAGTGTGTACACTACCATGGTCAGTCCATACTCCTTTGTCCCCCTGGCAAGTTCATTAAGTACTTTAATTTGTAAACCTTGAAAATAGCTTTTATGAAGAACTATTGGCACATCAAAAGCAACATTTTTTTTTATATTTGAGCAAAAACAGACTAAAAAGCCCCCCTGGGAAACCTCCTTTGAAAAAGAACAAAACTACCAGTGAGATGTTTTCCAGGCAATCTATCACAGAGGAGTGAATGCCTACCACAGTCTAATACCACTTTGTTATCCTGATTTAAGCAGCAATAATCTTTGTAAGAGACAGAAATACACTATAATAATACATGAGAATAAAGAAGAGCATTTAAGGACTCAATTTTAACAGCACCTCTGGACACTAAATGGAAAAAAGATACACAACGGAGCTTCAGTTTGAAAATCAATATGAAACCCATATTTCTGTGAAAATACTAGTATTCTTCAGAACTCTATTTTGTCATTATCAACACAAATGCTCATACACAAAGTAGTATGAAAGGAAAAGTTTGGGGTTTTTCTGGGTCATTTTCATCTCCAACCAATACTAAATGCATTTTAGAAAGCATCATTTCTATCAGCTGCCTAGGGTCACTTTCTGTCTAGCTTAAGTGGAAGAGTATGACTTCAGTATATTAGCAAAAAAAAAAACCACAATAAATCTTGAGACTGTGCAAATACGTACTGTTCACCTCTGTACTGAAATAGAAAAACCAACAGGTTTCTTTCCCCCCAAATACAACGAGCTAGAGCAAATTTAATTTCACAAGTTCAATATCATTCAGAAAAATTCACAAGTTCATGCCACTCTATTCATAGAAGGCAGGGACCATCCAGCTAGATTTTGACTTTTAATGTATCTAAACAGTCAGTAGGTTGGTACATGATCCTCTCTGCTTTTTATCTGCAGACAATACCAACTGTGGTGTTAAACTTCAGATTCACCTGTTTTATCTTTCAGCTCTAGAGGCTTCCTTTTCAGTCCCAAGTTAGTTGGAGAAAAAAACGTTATCTTCCCATTCAGTATAATGGTAGTCCTACAGCTATTGGCCCCAACTAGAAACTACTAAGTTTACTTCAGTTCTCAAATACTGCAGGTTGTCAAAATGCAAGCTATTAACATCAGCATTTTTCTTTGTTATTCATTTGTTTAGCCCAACCCTATGCTACCAACTGAGGCAGAACGAATCACTCAATCGGCCCCTGAATTTAGAAGTGCCACCCATCCTTTACTTCATCACCCAGAAAAAAGCATAAATAAACCAACCTGTTTAGCCAGTTGATCCTTCTTCACCAAGCCAGTGGCTGCAGCAATATTCCCTGCTCCTTCCACTGTCTTCTGGGCCACTGCCGTCACCCCTGTCACCACAGCTCCCCCAACATTGGATACCTGCTCTTTGGTCTTCTCAGCCACTAAGGATAAACCGAAGATGGAAAAACATTACAGATTTTGGAACTGGAGGTTACAGAGCTTTTCAGAGTCATATTTATCACTGGCAGCCAAATGTCATAAAAGGGCCTCAAGTGGATCTTCAGTAATGAAGATTACTTCAGTTAATCTGATCACAGTGGAGCAGGAAAGGTAAAAGCAAGCCCCATCTGTGGCCCTTATTACACCCAACACACAGTGTAATACCTAATTAGTGCACTCCATACAGCACATTTTGGAAATGCATTCAAATTATTTCAAACACCCTGCTGCATGTTACCTGGCATGGAAGACTCTTATTTTAAATCTTAGACTCAAAAGCTTCTGATTACCTCTCTTTAAAATACGTGATTAATAATCAAAGCTACTACTGCTTGACCAGAGCATTTCTAATACAGCATTTTACCTGATTTGCTGAGATTTCTGCCTCACTGCTGATCCTTCCATCTGTAACATACAAACTACAAGAAGATTGAATGCCAAAAATGCCTAAGCAAACTGGATTAGTAACTAATTTCAAAGCCTTAGGGAAACAGACTCATTTAGCCTACATATGCATCAGCAGCCAACATTCTACCTTTCAGAGTATTAGTGGATTCTTTCTGCTCATTCATTCCCAAGGGCTCTTTTCCCTTGCAGCAACTTACATTCCAGTAAAAACCCTCTAAGAGTAAAGAAATGAGGTGAACTCATGCCTTCAAGTCACAGGATCAGATATTCAGAAAAAAGAGCACTTAAGAAAACAGGGGAATAGTCTTCAAGAATATCCAGCACATAGCTTCGTTACTCTAACTAATTCTGTATTTTCTCCAATCAAAATTCCACCTGACCCATAAAATGCATTCATAACTCTTGCCACATTCCTTATGAGCACAGGCTTGATATACAGGCTAACCTTTCAGAAAGTTTTTGAAGTATATACAAAGAAATGATTTTTTGCAGATAAACACAAATTCTTTAACAGCTTACAAAAAAATCAGCTTTATATAGCAGAGGGGGATGCTGCATAGATTGCCATGATTGATATTAAGTAATGGCAAAGTCTATAAAGGTAGTAAAATCTCATACCAAGTACGATGTTTAAAGACCTGAATAATAGATATCTATTGACAAGGCAAATGATTTAATGCTTATTCTAACCAGCTTTGTGTGAGAAAAAAATATACACAATTAAAACAGTGAAGATTTCAAGGCATCCAAAGCTGCTGACAAACTCCTAACCTGTTATTTTTCATAATAGCTTAACACTTGGTACAAAATCAGTAAGCTGGTTCTTTAGAAAAATACTGTCATTCAGAAACTAGAGCCACTCTCATAAATGAAACTAACTATACACATAGCACAGATTTGTAAGCGTGCTAGTAGGAAAGGTTCTTTTTTCAGTTTCTAAAGAACACAAACACTATCAACATTCCTATTACCAGAACGATTCTGTAAATAAACTCTAACTTCATAAGCCTTCAGCTATGTAACTCTAGTGACATGTGGAAAACAACAAAATAGGCTTCCAGTATTACTTTTTTTTTTTTTGCTTACACTAAGTAGTAACAAGGGACAGGCATTAAGTGCATATTAATTTATTCTGAATGCAGCGGTCCTACCAACTAACAAAATTAATCTGAACACCAGGTTGTTAAATGACTTTAAGCTGTTAAGTCTTCAACAAATTGATATCTGCTTTGCATCACAGTGCTGAGAGAGTAAATTGGTTTCTGTAGAGCCCTCCTGTGCTGTGGCCTGATTACTTGTGATCACCTGTGGAATAAGGGATCCTGGAATGACATATAATAGCCACTTCAAGGCTAACATTGAAATGGAAGTTCTAGTAGTGACTATAACGTTCTACCAAAAGTAGTAGTGTTGAAGGTTTTGTTTCCCCTCATCATAGACAACTGGGTAATAAAGTTACAATATTCAGAACAATTCAAAATGAGAACTTGCTCTTTTCTATTTTGATCATCACAAGTAGGTGAAAGCTACACAATTCATCTAAATCTGTGAAATTAATTCTTACTAAATATACTTTCAAATACGTATTTCAGACAAAAAGATTGCCCTAGGTACTTGAAAAATTCATTTATGAAGAAGCCATGAGTAAATTGTGGGTTTTTCAGTTGATACATTTACTCTAAGATACCTGACAATTAAAATGAATGCAACTGGAATACCTGTGACCATGAATATAAAGAAGCAACCCAATATGAACAGTTAAATAAAAGAATTAGGCAAAAAAAAAAAAAATAGACCACGATTGATAACTGCTAAAATTGTCTCACTTCAGGAAACTGACATCTGCTAGTAGTACTGAGGCAGAGGACTTTCTGGCCTTGAGCTTTTTTACAAACCAGGGCTCTACTTGGACTACTAGGACAGTCTGTAAACATCCCACCTTGGATGCTGCACATTTCCATGCACTTGTTCTTGGGAGATGAGTAAGATGCACACGTTACTACACATTTAGAATCAAAGGACTATAAACATGTCAATTAAGCAGGCAAGTCAGATACACAAGCTAGTACCCCCATAAGGTCAATAAGCAACACTACTTTTTCTCTGGAAGTTTTGAGAAAGGGTGACCTGACAAATAACAAGTCCACAGCATTCCTATTCTGCAATGTCTTGAAGTGACTAAAGCTGGCAAAAATCAGGTCATACTTTAAATCAGGAAACTTCTTAAACCTTGTTAATTTCTGGGTTTGGAAAGCCACTAACTGAAAAGGTTATTTCATTGATCAGCACTCTAAGGATTATCAATGTCTTCACCAGAGGGTTTTACATAATCAATAATAGGAAAACTAGCAAGACCTTGGAGCTCGAATAGTAGGAAAGAACTAACTGAAAACAGTTTCATTTGGATCTGTGATTCTATTTCACATTCAAATGTCTCTAGCCTCTTGAATCATTTCTTTTTTTTTTCCAGAAAATGTGTTAATGCATCTCGAGTTTCACATCAACATCCTAGCACATATTAAGATCACCAGAACTGGCAAAATCCTAGTCCTATGGGGAAAAAAAAAGACAAGTAGACCTTTAGAAATAGCAGCATTATCACTGCAAATTTCATGTATTTAACAGATTTGATTTCTAGAACACCTTCACTAGCATTTTTCAGAGCATCTTTACTTTATATCTTTGAAAATCAATCCTGTGAATCCAAATCTGTTTTCATCTCCCCTCTTCTACCTCCCAGAACAGCACCTCATAAGTTTGTTTTATTCTATTGCTCCTCCCCTCCATGTCCAAGCAATTCCTCTGTTTTTATACTACCAAGTCCATACTGCTCCATTTTAGAGATTACCTTCTCAGGATTCTACATTAGCTCCTCTCTTCTGTCCTCTGCATGCCCTCTGTCCATTTTTCATTGTTATTCAACAGTCAAACTCCTGTCAACCAGCTGAAATGAGTCAGTATTACGCCAACTGTGGCACAGTAACCATTATTCTCAAGCTATGAGTTACTCATTTCATAAAGTGGATGAGGAAATTTGTCTAAAATTCCCAGTAATATCGTTGAACATTGTACTTATAGGCGCAGCACAGAACAGATGTGTTCTCTCTCTGTTTTGATTTATAGTTTGTTATATATCACCCAGAACAAAATTTAATATATCTTCAAATCTGTCAAAAATCTGTTCTCTTAGTTTAAATTTCCTGTCTCACTATATATATTATATCTGATAAAGATGGAGGGAAAGGAATCTCCCACTAAGCTAGCCTACTACAGAAAATCATTGCTTCAACAAGTTTCTCAAAGCCCAGCTTAGTAAAAAAATTAACTGTTAACTTGCATGCAAGTGTTATCTATTGTTCCCACATCTGTGATCAAATGGGATATACATGCCCCAAACCTTATTCTACTGCAATCCTCTATTGGTTACAGTAATTATCCTACCGAATACTTCCCTTAATTTAGGTCTAACAAGCAGAGATTTGAAGCCTCGTAACAAGAACATAAATCTATTTAGCCCACAGCTTAGTTCTGAAGGCCTGTCAGAGATGTTCTCATCAACTGTGCTCCTAAATATACACTTGGTTTACTTCTCAAACATTTGAGTTCTGATATTTCCTGTCAAGTAAAGTTTAACAGTTTATTCTTTGCATTAACCTGTATAAGCACAGATCAGTAATAACCTCGCTGTACAAAAAGTAGAAGAAAAAAATCCTTTCCTATTCCCATTTTCATTTGCATTGTTCGGTGTGTTTTTTTTTAATAAGAAAAATACTGCACGTTTCTTGACTGAACATTTTCTTCAAATCTCCACAAGTCTAGTATTTTGCAGAATAAAATTACACATTCTACTCAATGCATTACGGTCAGCTCAAGTTTACCTGCACTTCACATACATACAGTATTTCCATTCATTCTGCCACTTACTAGTTGCTTCAAATTATTGGTTTCTAGTTTCAATTTGTATAATAAATGATCTCTGTAAATCACTTTGAAATGCAAATTCATTCCTTTTCAGTGTAGAGGTACGCATGTAAAGATACATGGCTAGCAATAACTTCAGCATTTGAAAGTACTGTTGCAACAGAGAGATTATACAGTTTAAAATATTTGAACATCTTCCAATCCGTGACAAATTCAAATGAGTTGAACAAAACTCTGAAACATGTTTCATTCCTACAAGCTATTTCCCTCCTATCTTCCCACTCAGCCAGCTCCTGGGAGACATATTGATGAGTCACAACCATCTTTTAGGAGTGGAGGGAGTGATGGGGCACACCCATACTGTTGTTGCATTAAGACCTAATCTAAGAAGTCACTACCTGTAGTGGAGTGTTGAAAACAGTTCTCAGACAAGGATGAAGAACCAGTATGAACACCAATAACCAGATATTAAGTCTGTGGGAATTTTTTTTTTCAGGCACAGACTGTCACAGCACAGCTATGCACTACACTACAGCTACATTAAGTATACTGGAGGCAACCAGCTTAATGGATGGATATAATCACACAGACTGCAATTAGCAGCAATGACTGCCGCAGAGCTAAGTTGACAACTACATAGGAGAAACCCCCATTTTGCATCATGGCTTTAACTGTGAATTATCAAAAAGACTTTGGCACAGACAAACTGATGGCGCCACTGCTGGCCTTAACTGCAAACCCTCCCAGCAATTTCTCTTTTCTACCCAGCTCTTACAGTCCCTACTGTATAAAGGAGGTTTCTTCTACATTATTTGCCTCCTTCATCAGTTGCATTAATTCCTTATCTACTATACTAGCATACAGCCTGACTCCACAGGGTCCTAAATCAGCAGATAAATGTCCTTCAAACTTATGCCCAAGTCCTTCCCTACCGTACCTTCCCTATCACTCCCATTCAGTGTTATTTCTCTTCTCCACTCCCACCTCCAATCCCACTACTCTTCCTCCTCAAATAACAAGCAAACAGAATTGGACAAACACACCAGGCTTCCAGAAATTCTTCACAAGAAAACTAAAGCTTTTTTATTTTCAATGTCACCATGCTTGAGACTTTCCTACCTAGAATATTTTGGCAATAAACAAAGAAAAAAAAAGAAATAACTTTAGTATACTTCTACAAACACAAGCTATTTCCTTCTCTTTGAAATCTGTTTTCACTAGCCCTCCAGCTCACACTGGTATAGCTTGACTTTGATTCAGAATACTGCTTAGAAAATCCTCCTCACATACAATGATATTACACTTAAATATTTCACTGTAAAACATAAAACTTTATGCAGTTTACATCAACATTTCTTTACACTTCTCAAATTTTCCCACATTTTACCACCCCTCAGAAGCATGAGCATTCAAAGAAATAAAAAAATTTAATAGAGAAAAATTTAGTTAATCAAGAAATTAAGAGAATTGACTTACCCGTTGTGACACCATGAACAACTCCTTCCTTGGTCCTGGAACCTAAACAACGAACAATATTTAGTTGAAAATACTTGTTCTTACATACTGGTAAAGGCAAGATGGATAATAAGGTAGAATAAATAGATAGAATACATACTATTGCGCAGTTTCCAAATTAACTCAACAGAAATTCCATCTAAGGGAAAGGCTGAAACTGTCAATTGAAAGCAACTATTTGAACTATAAAAAAATGATAGTACTGCAAGCACTTCTGCAGTTAATTCCTTGTACTTACTGACTTTCTTGCCATTGTCTTAACAGTCATGTTAATTAAGTCTGCCACTCCACAAACTCACAGGGACAGCTGCACAGAAGTCATTAGGATGTTAATAGTAAGATGAAACTCATGCATGTATTTTCCAAAGATCGGACCCCAAGTTCCCAAAAGATCCTTTTAACTTCTAACAACTCTTGTTCAAATCTTGGTTTCTAGGGAATTAACAAGCTTTACTGAGCCTACAGAAAGACTTAGCAGATAAATTCACTGGGAACTTTTAGAATGGCTAGATTTAGACAAAGAGCAATCTGAAAAGGAAACATTAGGTAGCAGACAGCACTTAAACATAAAAGTGCCCACGGGGTCAAAATCAAGGCTCGCCTAATCCACTGCACTCCTTATCACTGACAAGAATAATCAACAAAGGTTCTGCAAACAGAAAACTTAAGCTTGCGCAGCACTGAGAAATATTCTAAGACCTGCTTAAACAATTTAACTTGGCACCCTGAAGACCAAGCCAAATTCTGGAATGCCCATGTAAAAATACCATGATGACAACTTCTTTTTAACTACCAAAAAAATTATATATCATTATTTTTGTGTTCACACGTCACTCAGTATTTCAGACTTTATAATTAGTATTTGACTCACCACTTCTAATACCTATGTAATTTCAGCATATCACTATATACAAATATATAAACACAAACTGATACTAGCAGAAACACATGAGAAGATAACAGTAAATCAGCAGAAATGCATTAGAAGAAAGCAACTTATTATAATTCTTGAAAGTAATATAAATACTCGCTGGAATAACATGAAAACCTCATTCAAGCATACTGTTCACTGCTAGTGCCAATTTGTAGAGCTTACACCATGAATTTATGGCACTATTAGATTGATTACAGCATTGTAAAGGCTCTTATATATGAGCAAGAGCATTATTCCATTACAAAATTAAATAACGTTGTTGCATCAAGTAAAATGACTTCCTGTTCCTTTAGACAATAAAACAAGTTAAACACCTGAGAAACCTTCCTTTACTTTGATTTTCTCTTCCAAAATTAGCAGTTTGTTTTCTTTCAGGGAAAACATTTACTGTTGGAAGAAGTATTCATTTTGGTGAATCCAAGGTGCTAATATTTAAAGACCTGTTCTAGGACTTCAATTCTCAATCTTGCATCACCACAAGCACTGAACAGCACTAAAAACACACGTGGAATTTAAGCAATGACTGGTTCTACTGTCTGGTACAAAGAGACTAAACACCATTTTAGTCTTACAGGAAATCTATTTGAACATTTAACATTAACAACTTTAACATAACTTAACTAAACAACATTAACATACTTTCAAATTCATTTGTAGACCTGACCAAAATATCATTCATCTTGCTGAAGTTACTGCCCGTAATCTGAGCCATTAGCAAATGCAAACCTGTGAATAACAAGTATGCAGTTCCGTAGAGCTGAGAAGGATGAAGGTGAGAGATAGATGGTATGACACAATTCCCTTGGGACCTCTATAATGCACTTCAGAGGAACATCCACAGACTGATTCTTAATTCACTTAACTCTGCTATAAGCACAGCTAGTCTAGAAATGCCATATCTTTTTGCTGCCAGATTTTTCTTCAGCAAAAGCACAACTTGCTGACCTGTACAGAACAAACACATTTGTGAAAATAATCAGCTGTGCTTTAGTCCAGAACATACAGTATACATTAGAGCTAAACATTCAACTCTCACGTACTTCAATGGAAGTAGCTGTTTCTCCAGACAGAACTACAATAGGATCTAGAAGAACACTAGGACCTGCCAGAACAGGTCTATAAATAGAACAACTGAATTTGTTAGGGCAACTCCTGGCTGGGAGTGAATGAAAGCAGTCATCCACATTGCTTCCTCCTATTAACTACCTGTCTTTCATTCTGCAATTTTCAAAACATGAATAAACCAGCTCATTAAACTCAGCACAACAGGGAGAATAGAGAAACGAGACAAGTAATCTGATACTGACCTATGCTTACTTATTTTAATCAAGAGCAATAGTAGCACACAGTACAATATTTTTCCTCATTATAATAGATATTCAAGTCACTCAGAGGAAACCAAACCCACAATTTTTGTCTCTATGTTATTATCTGAAACAACAACAGACTCTCTCCATTTCATTACATACAATCATCACTATCAGTTTGTCAACACTCATTTCTGGGAGGTTTTGAGAGATGATTAGAACATAACAAGCAAGCCTTTACTGAGATTCAGGACACTTAGAGCTTGTTGTGAAGACACATAAGCCCAAATCAGGAGAAGGATAAATCTTAATACTTGCTCCTGAGTGCTGAAGCCCACTATCCCACCACATGGACCTCCAGCCCCTTAACTCCTTCACAAAGCTTACCTATTACTGCAGGAAAACAAAAAACATTAAGAAAGTACAGCAGAGGAATTTGGATGGTCCTGCCACATACGTCATGACTGGACTGATCTACTCTAAGGCCAGTTGAGCACAGGGCAGTAAATTCTTCTGCCACAAACTTGTCTCCTGATAAGCTACTCCTGTGTTCTGCTATAGTGTATCATGGCTAGAGAGATGAGATTGGAAACCTCCACTCCTGGGCACCGCACAGACACTCAGAAGTCAACTGAGCACAAACAGCAGCTCCCTGGTAACAACACAGAGCTCAAAGGAACCCTTTAGCAGCACATCACTGATCACATGCAAGAGCATTATCCTTAGTCACAGATCTTGGCTTCAAAGTCGTGTGGGTAAGCATTGCCACGTTTTTCTTCACTGCTTCACACCAACAGCTTTTGAAAGATACACGGAGACCCAGTTTTGAGTTTATGATATCTCAGTCCTCCCTCCTTATCAACAATCAGGTCATTCTTTGAATGGAAAAAAAGGTCCTGATGCTGCTTCTGTAAGTCAAGATAAAACCACTGTATTTCAGTTGGTCAGCGTTGAAGGACATCAGCAGAGGAACTCCAGAAAAAAAGGAAATAATAAAAACATACTACAGACTGTGTTAAAGGACATTCTGAATATTGGAAAGACAGACAAAGATCATAGAATCCTTATGAGTTGGAAGTGACTTCTGAAGGCCATCTACTTCAACATCCCTACAATGAACAGGGTCATCTACAGATAGATCAGGTTGCCCAGGATGGTAGGAGGGAAGACATATATGGAAAGGAAAAAGAACCCCATTAATCCTCCAGGAGATTCCCTCAGAGTTTTATGTTTCACACTTGAACCTAAACAGTAGCTGTTGTTCATAGATTCTCACTATGTAGAAGTACGTTACAATCTTTATCATAATAGTTAACCATTCCCTGGACAGAAAGGCACATATTTTCATTTTTTACTTAAATTACACTCCCAAATTGCTTAAGTTCTACTACCTAAATTTATCTCTTAAATGAAAGACCACAGCATCTTGGGAATCCGGACCAAACTTATTTTTTTTTTCAATCTTACTCATTTTGTAACAGCAATGGGAGGCTGAATGCCACTGAGATGACTGCTGACACTAAAAATGATTAACATGTCCCTCCTAGCCTAATTTTGTCAGACTGTTTGCAAGATGTCAGGTAGCTTTCACAAATAATCTCACTGTCTGTCTTTGCAATTTGTATCTGAAAACTCAGCTACAGAGGCAGAAAGAAATCTTTAGAATCCTTAACACAGAACGAAGAGATTATCACATCAGTCTTTGTTATGCTGTTTAAGAGATGAGCTGCCCCTGCTATGTGCTTGGGAAGCACAGGGACATCGCCAGCTCAGAAATGAAGGGGTTCTGGGCAGCCTAAACACGCTGCTTGGGCAGTGAACACAGAGCTGTGACCCAGTTTCAGCCGCCCTCTGCCAGAACCAAGCCCTCACAGGGGTCCCCAAACACCACTACAATTTGCTGAGCCTATTGGTTTCTGCTCTGATTTTTACTCTCCTTGTTTTAATTCTGGCTTCTCCAGTTGCAGTTGGAGAACCCAAGGAACCAATAACCCAGCAAGTTTATTACTTGGGTCCATTACCTAGTACAACGTTTTGAAAACTTAACTATGGAAACCTTGGCTCACTAAACCCAAGCATACACCCAGACACCTGTCAGAAATTCTGAGGAGCAACTCTAACTGAAGTGTTTTCTGCCTGTATCACTGAAACTGCATATAGGTCTTTCTTCCTGAAAAGCATTTATCTGCTGCAGGAAGGTGCTTGCTTCACATCTCTGCAGTTGTATGCACAGATCCTCATTATGGCTCAGGGCTTTGCTGACCAAGGTATTTCAGTTATGAAATAAACAGCAAGCCTGCCCTATGAAGCACAGCCTCAGCAAAAATATCTCTGAAGACAACAAACAGGAAATCTCTTGCCTTTGGGAGGATAGCTAATTCCAGACATTATTACCATCAGGAGAAGAGCTCCGGGACAAGGATTATTTCAGCACACAACACAGGTTTCCAATACAAAGAAATCAATGACCCTAAAAGTACACTCAAGATCAACAAAAAAATGAAGTTTTAAAATAAAGCCATATCCTTAAAATTAATTTTAATATCAAGCATGATGTGCAGTGAAAGTACAGCTACTTTGATGCTGGAAATGAGCAGATGCTCATTTTTAAATAGATTCATCTTACAACTACTTTTCAAATTGACTTCCATCTCTGTTGGCAAGAGCACCAAGCTCAGCTACAGCTCAGCAGGAGAAGAAGATATTCCAAATCAGTAGTCTAAACTACGTGGAGAAGAAATAATTTGTTACAGAGTGCCATTAAGGGCAAGGGGATTCCCTTGCAACTGCAAAGGATTCTGCAAGGGCAGAAGGAATCCTGGAAAGACGTACAGAAATATCAGTTCTTCCATTTAAAATAAATACCTCTGGATTTGAACTCTGTTCAACTCTGTACAGAAACGACCTGCTGCCAAATTATTAAAAAAAACAAAACTACAGAAAAGAATCTATTTTCCTTTCTATTCTACTACCATGCAACTGAATTTCACAAAAAATATGGAATTCCTCCAGTTGAAATGACCTATTTGTACGGTCTTGGCAGTTCTTCTCCTGGACATTTTTCACGATGGCATTTACAAGACAGTATTTTAAGGCCTGAGAGTTGCTAAGCGAAAATGATGATCACGCCATCTACATACCAATGCAGGATTTAAAAAGAACCTCTTCCCTGGTTCATGCAAGGTTCTTGCATAGTCTGGATAAGTCAACTAACATCTGCTTCCCATTGTCTCCACTGCTGCTTGGAGGACTAACTACCCTAGCTCAGTGACTGTAAAGGTTCTTCTTTGAGAAGCAATGGAAAATAACTGCTGTGCAGTAACTATAGAACATCAGGTTAATTTTGAATGATAAGGTGTCCGTTCCTTGTCTTTCAAAATGTTACTGTTGAGGATTTTTATTTAGTGAAGAAAGTAAACAAGCTCATTTCTTCACTTACCCTCATTTTATTCCAGGAAAAGCCATTGACATTTCTTACATTCAGTTCCAGAATCAACATCTCAAGTTTTTGCTTTTAAAATCCTGCTTTAGACTCAGGCATTCTACAGGACTCTGTGAAAATACTTCCCATATAGCAAACATCTTGAATAGCACCAGCCAGTAACTTGCATTGTAAGGCCTCTTCCACCAGGCAAGCTTATCCTTTATGACACTACAAAAGCTGCCCCATGATGCAGCCACATACGGCCAGCACAACACAGTGACAACAAGCAAAACAGTGACAGTACAACACCACAAACAAACACACAAACAGCAATCTTCAAAGACCTGGAGCTCAGGTGAGTTCAAGTCTCATCCTGTTTACTTTGCAGTTAACCCTCTTCTATAAACAATTACATACTTCACAGAAGAGAGAATTCAGCTCTTTCTTTCAGATGAGCAGGGCTGTCAGGGAAAACTAATCAGCAGCATGACCTTGCTGCCCACCTACCCACATAGAGGACTCCCTCTTTTGTCTTTCCTGCTGCTTCAGCCACTCCTTGCTTGGTTTTCTCTGCTGCTGCTACAACTCCCTCCTTTGCCTTGTTTAGTCCTTTCATGAACACATCCATGGCTGAAGAATTTCTTCACACAAAACTAGGAAAAAAAAAAGCATGCTTTGAATAACGATTCTCAGCTTTTTTTTTTTTTTTACCAGCAAAGGAAGAAAATTACATTAAAACTGATTGAACATCAAAATATTTAAAAAATATGTTATTTACACCAACATATTATATAGCTTCTATCTACATCTCTATCAGCAATATACACATAGCTGTCTGTATCCTGTAGCGCAGATAGAAAAAAACAGTTAAAACCAAGCAGCTCAGTTACACAAGTCACCTTTACATCTTCTCACATGCTATCACAGATAGCAAGTCAAGCAGCATGGCTAGAGTAGTCCCTAAAAGGCCTGGGAGTTCCCACAGAAACCTACAGAGGTCACTGACAACGCAGTTCTCATCTGAAGGTGCATTCATTGAAAGGAGCAAGCCCATTCCTTGCCCATCACCATCTCCTCCAAAGGACAGTTTGTTCATATGCTATCTGCAAGATCTAATCCCATCATTTGCTGATGCTCCACCTTCTCATTCAAAGGAAAATCTTAAATACTAGCTACTTCACAAACACCTCTTCTAAATGAGAAACGTTCACTTATTGTTAGAAGAACCGCTAGCATTCCAGAAGGACTTGAGCAAACACAAAACGCTGCTTTTCAGCAACTCTTCGTTTTGCGTGCAGCTCATATCACTCTGCCAGTACTTGAGTTCTCCAAAGGGATCCTGCACATGTATCAAATCTAAGGAAAAAAAAATAACGAAAACGCAAAGCCAAGAACATGCAATGCTAACAGCTCTGCACTACAGCTAGCAAACGAGTTCTGTGGCAGCTATACAGCCCCACGCTACAATTAAGCTACAAAGACAGTAATTAAAGCCACCAAGTCAGCATCCCTTCCACAATCCCATCACGACAGACCTTCCCTCTTCTCCCTCCCCCTCTCAGAAGTGGCACTGCCTGCTAGTTCCTTCCCTCCGCCAGAGGAAGGGATGTCTAGGAAGGCAGTGGGCAGCTTGCTACTAACCCGTGGCAATCAGAAGGGCAGCATCCGTGCCCCAGTGACACCGTGGGCAGCACCGAGAGCAGGTGTGGAAGCACCTGGGTGCAGCGTGGGGGAAAAAAAAAAAAAGCAATACACGGCTACGTGGCTCTGTCCAAATAAAATAAAGGGCACCTGTGGAGGGAGGAAAAGAAACGCACAGGGCTCTCCTACAAGCAAATAGCTCTATCTATAGGGACTACCCGAGGAGAAGGGGAGAGCGACGTGAGCAGATAGCACCCAGCGGCTCTCGCACACGGCAGCCACAGTGCCCGCTGGTTTCCCCTCTCTTTCCCTTCCTCCTTCGTGCCCAAAGGAGAACGTTCGGCGGTAAAAGCACCTCTATACCCCTGCACCTGTACGCACACTCACCCCAGCTGCTGCCCAGCCCCGGGGGAGCAAAGCCCCTCACGCACTCCCCACCACTTACCGCTGGGTCCGCAGCTGCAGGAAGGCGGGGGGAGGCAGGGAAGAAGGAGGGCGAAGCGCGGAAACCTGATGGGAGCTGCCCCTTCTCAGCACATCGCCGAGTCTCCCGACACCGCCCCGACGGCAGCACGGCGGGCAGCGAGTGTGAAGGAGAGACAGGGTGAGGGGAGGGGAGGTGGGAGGAGGGACCGGGGGCGGTGGGGCGGCTCCCAGCCTTCATCCCCGGCTGGGGAGGGGGAGTGTGCTGCAGGTCGGCTATGCGTCGTGACGTGGGGGTGGGAGATGAGGATAGGAAAAAAGCGAAGGGGAGAGGCTGAGGTCCTGGTCACCTCGTGGCACCACCTGTCCGCTGTTCGCCCCGGGGCTGAATCACCGCCGTACTCAGAAGCAGTATGAGCAAGCTATTGGCACACCTGTTTTGCTTCACCCACGGCTCAGAAAACGCCCCCGAGCTCTTGGTTACTTCCTATCGAAAGTCTTCAGGTTGGAGTGACTCGAGGTAAATGCTGCCGTTCTGTCAGGATTCGTGCTCCCAGCTCATTTTCAAGGATGGTGGGTGATTCTTCTACAGAAAAAAATACGAGTCTTAGTCCTGCTGCAAAAATATAATAAAATCTTTATCCAAATGAGGATGAGAAGCCCAAACTCCCAACTGTTGGACCCCTTAGTGGTCTCCATTGTACAGACCAGGGCCACTGCTGCTCCCCTCTTGCTCTGTTGCACTCAAGTGACTTTTCTCCAGAAAGGGAAAGCAATCACATATCTCTGTATTGCTGCAGAGCGTAGGCACGAGAAGCCAAATTCAGTGGGAAACAAGGTATTAGAACAGATGGACCTTCAGCATCAGTACATCAGTCAGCACGCTGTACAGATCCTGCAAAACCTTGCAGAAACAGTTTGTTCTGTCAATGCAATCCACAGGAGAAGCAGAGCTTGGTACAGATGAGATACAGGGACATGAGCTGCACAAAGCACCTTCAATCCATCATCATGGGCAGGCAGCTGATGGGTCCCTGCTTTTATTTCCATTCTGAGCATACAATGCAGGGTTTTTTTTTTTTCTCTCCAGGTTTCTTAATATTTATCTACTGCTTGGTAAGCTTTCTGGGGATTCACTCCACTACCTGATTTAACCAAGCAAACATTTGGTGATAGGTTGTATTTCCTTGCATCATAAAGCGCTGTCTGAGAATACAAACCATTCCTCCTTAATCACACCCTCCAGAACATCTTTAACAAGCATCCAGGAATCGCACTAGGAGGCAGCACATCTTTTTCATCGTGAGCTGCACATTTCTACTTAATGATGCAAATCTTGATGTGGTGTTTCCTTCTAGCTGTGGGGGAGAAACACAAGTGTAATATTAGACAGTAAATCCAAAGAAATAAAAGTCCCATGCTTTCTGCATTTTCTTCCCAAATGTTACAAGCTGCCACGGTTTTATGATTTTTGTTATCAATATCCCACATTGTAACATCACATACAGCACTGGTAGTTAAAGAGTTAATGCTCCAGTTCCATGGATTGTCAATATTTCCAGGTACCTGGTTCTCAGCAGAGAAGAGCTACATATCCCATAAGACTGTCACTGTTCTGTTTTGCATTTGAAGGGGAAGATACAACTGTTCCCAAGTCTGAGATGCTCCTTCTTTGATGCTCCTCTCTGCCATGTGTGCTCCCTACCCATCTCGCCTTCAGCATTAGAGTAAAGCCTTCAGTATTGGACTCTCTCTCACTTTATTTGATTTATTACCTTCACTTACAATTACACTGTATTATATTGTGTTATCTTCCATTCTGATTAGTAACTTAGTTTTTACTCCCTTAGCCTATTGCTGCTGTTTTTAGGCCTGTCTCCCTAGCTTCTCCCCCCTTCCCCTCTCCCAGGGCATGGGTCCATAGCTCCTCCCACCCCATTAATCTCAGAACCAGGTCAAACCAGTCCACAAAACAACTGGCAAAAGCAAAAGCATGCAGGGAATTATTAATAATTAACAATTAATACGGGGTTCAATAATTAAAAGACAAAATTAGTATTAGCATGAGTATGCTTTATAATAAATAGAGAATATTGCGCTCCTTGTGTGAGTGTTATCTATTAGGTTTAAATAAATGTTTGTTTCTCCAGCTTGATAAGGTTCTTTCCTATGCACTGCATGATCAGACAGAGGCATGATGTTATAATGTTAGACAAAGTAACAGCCTGTTGGATAATAAAATCACATGGCCAAATTCAGAGTGGTAGAGACAAGAGGGATCCATTTCCATGGCATAAACACAGCTTATTGAACACTGCAGTGTTTTTTCACAACTGAAAAAACATGCAGTGTTTTTTCACAACTGAAAAAACACTGCAGAGTAAAGCTGATCAGTATATGGTGTCTTTAGGTTAAAAACAATCATATATCATATTTAGGTTGGATGTTAGGGGGAAGTTCTTTACAAGGAGAGTGGTTAGGCCCTGGAACGGGCTGCCCAGGGAGGTTGTGGATGCCCCGTCCTTGGACATGTTCAAGGCCAGGTTGGACGGGGTCCTGGGCAACCTGATCTGAATGTGTACGTTTGGTGGCCCTGCTAGGCAGGGGGTTGGAACTACATGATCCTTGAGGTCCCTTCCAACCCGGGTGATTCTGCGATTCTGTGATATGTAAAACTTTTCAAGCAGAAACACTGACAAGATGTCCCCTTGAAATAATAAGTTGAAGGCATTCTCTTGTTGATGCAGGATGACTCACATGTGCTCCATGTTCCCACAGAACTTATTTATGATGTTAGAGGAAAGTTACCTTTGAGAACTTGAAAAGCTGCAGAATGAAAAGAATCTGTCTTAGTTTATGGTGACACCACAAAATGACATTAAATGGGCAGGCTATTCACAAGTGACACTTGTTATTCCACTGCATGATCTTTCTACCAATTGCAAATAATCTGAAAGCTGCCTTAATTTCACAAATTCATTAACTGTGTAGAAATGATATTTTTCTGCAAATATTTCATTCTCAGCCTTTCTTACAGAAGAGGTTACTATCTGTATTTAGACTTGATGGAAAGTTCAGGCCAATTTCATACTCCTGCATCACACATTTGCAGTTCTGTCATATCTCAGGTCCCTGTGAAGAATGTTTCTCTTGTCAATCATGCTACACTTTGAGAACTCAGAAACATGCACAACTTCAAAAATACTGAAGACAACCTCTATTTTGTATACAGGTAAGCCTGAGACTTTTTTTTTTTTTAAATACCTAACATATTCACCAGTGCTTTGGTTATAGCCTAATACTTCATTACAAGAATTTGCCTTGCTTGGTGTTCCCAGTGATGTTTACTCAAATGAAGCATAGTCATTGCTACCTACACATATATGCATATTCATATGCATATAAGAGAGACAGAATATTTGTTAGGTATTTATATTAATATGTTTTAACTGAGACAAATGTATATGCTAAAATATCGTGTTGGAGGCAATTATGCACATAAGTGTGTGTATACCTATTTATGTTTATGTGTACTTCACTCCAAAAGTAATTTTCCTATATCCATGGAAACTACAAAGAGCACAAGAACATCTTCTGTAGAGTAAATTCTCAACTACGGAACACTGTCTCAATATAGTCACCACCATCATTAACTATGAATTTTCACCAGCAATGATGAAAAGTCTGCATGCTGTGCTCAAAAAAGACTGCATGACCATCTATAACACAGCTGATTTTTCAGGGCATTGCTGTCACGGCTGAAACACACAACTTAATGCCTCACTGTGCTCACATTCACATTGTTTGGTCTCCATAAACATTCAAAAAACATTGATGAATGTCAGTGGGTGCAATTTCCTCTGCATGGAGGAATTTAATTCCACACCTTTGCTTGATATACACTTCCATGTCAGACAGTTTTGTCATACTGTCCCTTCTGCTATCATCTGTTACACAGCATCAATATGTAATGGAATACTGGCAAGGAAGTACAACTTCACCACAACACAACCAACATTCAACTCTGACCTTACTGGCCAACATAATAAAACTGGAGGCATTACTTTCAGAGCAGCCTTCATACATATTTAAAGAAGGTTGAGGTACATCTCAGATACCATAAATATCAGCTCAATAGACATAATCCCAGTAGCTCTTCAACAAACGGAAAAAAGAGTCTGACAGCTTTGCACCATCCACATCACAGGCAAAACCAATCCAACCTACTACTCCTTTATTTGCAGTCAAGGTTGAAGTTGCAGAAATAACACATTTTACATGAGCACTGGTAGAGTCTCAGATTAATGAATTTGTCCGGGCTAGGCACTCATTGTTTAAGTGGGAAGCAGCTCTGCCG